CTGCGGGTGCGCCTCCGCGACGAAAATGAGGGCAAAATCACGACGAAACTCGTCAACGGCCTCCTCGAACTCGACTTTCACGACGCGGTGGCGACGCGGCAGGCGGGGGTGCGCGTGAGGGAGGTCATTTCGCAGCAGAACCTCCTCACCGCCAGCGCCTACGGCGGGGTGCTGGAGACGCTGGAAAGGGTCTGCGCCCTTCACGCGACCAGCGCGGTGCAGTACGACGGGCTGCTCGTGCGCAACCCCGCGATTCAGATGCGCCTCGCGCAGCTCGCGTGTTTCCGCTTTGGGGTCGAATCGCTCGCGGCGTACGTGATGGGCGATGGGGAGGCCTTTCAGGAGGATGGCGCCCCTTCCGGCGCGGGAAAAACGTCTGGAGAGGGAGGGGACAAGAAGGGGGGGGAGCAGGGGGCTGGTCTTCATGCCGCCGCGGCCGAGGAGGAATTTCCCCTCTTCGAGGCCGTCACCCTCAATATCTACGCGGAGAACGCCCTCATGGATGGGTTGGATTGTGCCTGGGGCATCCTGCGTGGCTTCCCCCTCAGCACGGTGCGACCGCATCGCAGCAAACCGGATCTCCTGATCGACTACCCCTACGTCGACGCCCTTTTGAACACCTCGAAGTATTTCATCACGTCGATGAACGGCTCGATGGAGCTGCAGGCGCAGGAGTTCTTCGGCCCCCTGCTGCGGAAGTCGGGGCTCTACCAGACCGCGTCCGCGTGGCTGGAGAGCCCGCTTAACCACCTCATGGGGATGACGGCCGCGGCGAAGGTGCGGTTATCCGCCCCGCACGTGAACCTCCGCGTGATGACCGGCGCGCTGGAGAAGGATATCGCCCACATCCTAGAGTTGGTCTCCCACCAGAAGGACCTCAAAGACCCTGTGTTTATCATCGCGGTCGCCCAGTACATCGCGGAGGTCTGCGCGAACCTGGCGGTGATCTACCGCTGCTCCGCCTCGTTGACGGTCGATGAGGAGGGCAAAGGGCATCGGGAATGGCTGCTCGCGCAATCCTTTAGCGCGGCGTCGAGTGCGCGGCGGCAGCGCATTCTCGCGGACCTCCGCACCACCCACGCCGCCGCGAGCGTGCTGCAGAAGTCGGAGGATCTCGATAACTACAGCACGCATCCGGTGGAGCTGATGAACGTGCGACCACAGGGCTCGTCGTCGACGCAGGCGGCTTCTTCTTGATAAGGCGGCGGACAAGCGGGGGATTGGAAGGTTTCCCTCCTCTCTCCTCTCTGTAGAGAGTGGAGTGAGGGAAAATAAAAAGGGTAATACTGAAATACAATGAGGTGGTGAGTGCACCGAAAGAACATCATCTTTTTGGACTTTAGGGGGGGGGGGGGTGAGGCTGGGATATCGGAAACGTCGCTTTGCACGCATCGAATGGAGGTCAATCATTAATGCCAGCAATGCATCAAGAGGCTCTATCATCGTTTTTAACGAGTGGCGTTGGGGGGATGGGGGGAGGGTGGTCCATAGAGGGACGACATCTTCTTCTGCATTCTTGATAGATCATAACAGGATGGAGGGAGGAGGCTCGCTATTCCCCGTATGATGATTCTAAAAGAAAAATATAAGATTCATTTGCATGTGATCCGTTACTTGACAACTCGCCCTTTTGTAGTGTTTTGATCCTTTTGGGGGGGGGTCCTAAGGTTGGATGAAAATACCCCTGAAGAGGGGCAAACGAGTCGTGGTGGGGTAGTGCGTCTGGGCGGTAAACCAACTCGCATTAATATTTTTTCTCTACTAAAGGGTATTGAAATTTTATATGTGTATATATATATATATGTATCGTACACTGGTTCCGAATATAAATAATAGCGTTAAACAGGCCCGTGACTGGGCATGAAATCATTCGGAAGAAGTATCAATCTGTCTTTTCTTCCCCTCTTTAGGAAATTCACCATTACCTCTTTTCACATATGTATGTGGTGCTTTTTTCATTTGACTTCTTTTCTTTTCCGTGATTTTCCTCCTTCTAAAGTTATACATACATATATATATATAAATATATATATATATATATATATATACATATCCATATACACATTTGCGCGCTCTCCTTTGTTCTTTATTGAGTAAAGAAGCTTGACTCCACCACTGAGGTTGACGAAAGAAATGCGATAAGAAAGGGGAAGAGGGAGGGAGAAGTTTGAGAAGGTACACCGTATTGAAGCGACATTGTCTAGTCAAAACCGATCCATTCCCTATTCGAATTTCCATTCATCCATCTTCAGGAAATCCATCTGGTGCCTTTGTCCGCGTCAAGCAAAGAAGAGGCGTAAAGAAGCGAGTTGTGTGTGGATGTTCCCGCCCCCAACAAATTCCCTACGTGGGGGCTGTCGGGAGGATAGCGAGGAGGAGAGCTCCTGCGAGGACGGCCCCCACAGCGCGGCGGTGGAGCTCGCGATGCACATCGAGGACTGCGCGTCTATGCTACCAGGGTACCTCATTCACATCGAGGAGAGCCTGCGCGGGATTGCACCTGACGAGGAGTCTCCCCTTCCGAAAGGGGAGGGGGGTTTGCCTGGCGGGATGGAATCGTTTCCCCCACCACAGGAGGACTCCACAGGGGGGTTGGGGAGGGAAGGGGTCTACGAACGCCTTCGGGGCCTGACAAGCCCCACCGTCGTGGCGACGCTGCATATCCGCGCGGCGCGCTCGCGGATTGGGGGGGGGGATCCCAACCTAACCGCCCCCCCGCGTTCGGCGAGGGTTTCCTTCAACTTCATGGAGGGCTTTCGGCTGCATCCTGACGTCGAGGTGGTGGCGCGGGAAGGGGCCCATTCGACCTGCTACGAGTCCTTGCTATCGCTGTTGCTGGGGAACTTCTGGGATGCGGAGCGGGAGGCATAAAACGGGGGAACTTACGCGGAATAAAAATAAAGTGATTGAGATTGGAACCGTCAGATGGAGAGAGGGTGAGCGCGAACTCACTTGCTTTTCCTTCTAGGACAAATATAGAATGCTCTTTTTTCGACTATGCATAGCTTATAGCGTGCTTTATTTTTGCTACAGTTTTTCTCTTTCTGGTGATTTTTTTTCGAGTTTTTACTCTTTGAACTCCCTTATAAGCCAGCCTGGCAAGAGTGTTTTTTGGTAATGCTTTCAGAGGCATGAGAGAGTGGCATGTATTTCTTCTTCCCCCTTCTTCTCGTTCGTTCACTTATTTTGCCTGCCGTATGTTTCAAATCCTGACGCGCACGTGAATGCGCAGAAGTTTTGATAGGGTTTCTACAGGGTCAAATCAACAACCCGTTAATACCCAGCTATCGAACAAGGGTGATTTTTTTTCGTCTTAAAGAAGCAAGGCTTACATCATTATTACTACGACCACAACTGCAAGATTAATTTTGGCAATCACACTTTAACAGTTTCGCGGCTTACAGACCTCAATGCATGTGCTGTTGGTATATTTGTTCATACTTATCGGAGCGGCCGTCATTACTCGCCTTGCTTTCGGCGAGGACAGCCACAGGCGTATTGCTGAGGGCTGTGGGCTCGATCTTTTCCTCGCCGGCGATGCGAAGGATGCCGTGAGCGTGGAGGCAACCACTAAGGATGCAGAGGGAGGGCCACTGGCGGGGGAGGTCCCTCCGCTCTCCCCGGAGAAAAGTTTTCAAGAGGGGTCCTTGGCGAGTTTCGCGTCGTCCAAGGGGGTGCCGCCGGCTCAGTGCTGGATGCTTCGTTTTCTGGAAGAAACGTGCTGCGCGTTGCCGGTGCGTGCATCCGACGTGCGCGTCCTGCACCACCCCACCGCGTTTTACGACGAAATGCGATCCCAGATCCGGGCGGCCCGGCGTAGCATCGTCCTGTCGGCTCTTTACCTCAGCCATGGGCCCCTCTCGCAGGCGTTTGTGGAGTGCCTGGAGGAGAAATTCCGCGAGATGCTCGAGCTCTGGGAGCGGACGCAGTCCTCCGGCGGCGACGGCGACGAGGTGGCGGAGCGTGGCGAGCCCTTCACCATCACCGTTCTGATGGATTACAACCGGATGCACAGCCGGCGCGACCTGGCGACCGTCCGACGGCTCCTAAGCATGGCGGATGTGGGGAGTGGCAGGGCCTCTGCCTTCCCCCACGCGCCGGCCTCCACGCGGCCTCAGGTTCAGCTCTTCCTCTATCAAAGCCCGTGCCGGTGGAATCGCGTCTTCGCACCCTTCGGCCGCGCGAAGGAGGCGTTGGGGGTGCAACACACCAAAATCTTCTGCTTTGACGGCCAACACACCCTCCTGACGGGGGCGAACCTCTCGGATGACTACTTCGCCACGCGCATCGATCGCTACGTCGCCTTCGACGCGAACGTCCACATCGCGGAGTGGTTCACCCGCCTCGTGCGGGTGCTCTGTGCGCTTTCGCATCCGGTTGAGCGGGGGGTGGACCCCGCGGAGGCGGGTGGATCCCCCTCGTTCCCTTCCCCTTCGACTTCTTCCCCTTCTTCGCTTTCCTCCCCTCTTCACACGCGTTGCGGGCTCGTCGTGCGGCCGAACGCGACGGGGTTCGATCCTTCCGCGCAGCCAGGGGCCTTCGCGCAGGCGGCGGGGGCGCGGCTGCGGGCTTTCGCGCGTGGCGTCGGGCGCGATTTCGCCGGCCTCGCCTACACCGCCCTCACTTCACCGGAGGCGGGGTGCGATACCCTTCTCTTCCCCACCCTGCAATGCGGCCGTGCGGGGGTCTTCCACGACAGCGCGGTGGTGAAATCCCTTCTGGGGATGACAAGCCCCACCGATCACGTCTTTCTCACCTCGCCCTACCTCAACCTGCACGCCGAGTTCGTCGAGGAGTTCCTGCATCGCGAGATCCGGCTGGACTGCATCACGGCGAGTGTGAAGACGAATGGGTGGAATGGGCAGCGGGGGATCGCGGGGTTTATCCCGTTTTTTTACCTGCAGCTCGAGCGGTCGTTTTACTACCTGATGAAGGCCTACCACTGCGTGCACCGTGTGCACCTCCATGAGTTTTCCATGCCGGGCCTCACCTTCCACGCGAAGGGGGTTTGGTTCGTATCGGAGCCCGCGAAGGGCGAGAACGGCTCGCCACCTCCCGCAGGGCTTCGCGACATCCCCACGCCTTATCTGACGGCGTACGGCAGTACGAACTATGGCTACCGTTCCGTTTTCAAGGATCTCGAGGCAGAAGGATTTCTCTTCACATTTAACCAATCGCTGCGGGAGTCCATTAAGGAAGAGTTGCACTCCCTCCTGCAGCACTCCACCGCGGTTCCGGAGGCGCAGTTCGTCGGCGAGGCGATGGGCCGCTTCCAACCCGTCATCTCTCTCCTCGCGCAGATGGGGCAGTACTTTTTGTAGAAACCAAATGGTGCTGGATGTAGTGGGTCGTATTCTTGCTTCTTCACCCCTCCCCTCCTCCTTCCCTCCTTTCTTCCCCTTTACTTCCCCTCCTCTTCTCTGAAATGGAAACCGAGGAAGCCAGTGTGAGTTTAAGCAAAAGCAAATATAATTTTTTATTTCTTGGATCGTGTGTGTTAGGTTGAGCGCGTTTTTTTGGTCTCAATGCCTTTTCCACGTTTTTGTGCCGCTTTCACTGCAGTCATTTTACCGTTTTGGATCCTACGTCAGTGATTCTGGAAAGGGGACAATGATCCTCAGGTGTACGTGTGTAGGTTTGTGTTTGGCGGATGCCACCCTTCTATCTGCTCCCCTTCCACACATATGAATGGGTGGGTGGGTGCGGGGTTGCCGAGTGGGTGAGAGAACTCATCATGGTCATACTTGACATAAACCGAATAATCGGAGAATTGTACTCTTAGTATAGTCGAACGATTAATAAGTAAATAGGTGAAAATATTCTCATTATGATTTTTTCTGGAACGATTCATACGCTTTTTGAGCCGTGTATTTCTCTGAGGAAGTGCGTGCGTGGGTGAGAGCCACGCGCTGTTCCTTTTACATCCATACATATATCTATATATGTGTGCATACCAAACCTCCTTCTTGAACCCAAGATTTACTCACTTACTATCGTGATTCTTATTTTACCACGAAGGAATCAAGACGAACACCCGACCACGGACGAGTCCCCTTCACACCCATCCCCTCCACGAGCTCATGGCGCAGCCGACCAAGGAGGCCCCCTCTGGCGAGTCCCCCTCTGAGCCTACCGGCGCCACGCCGCGGAAGTACATCGAGGATGACCACTCCCGCGTGGAGGTCTTCCGCCGCTCCGCTGCCTTCCGAAAGATCCTCGCGTATCTGCAGGGCTGCGCGGAGGCGGTGGAGGGGACGCCGGGCCCGACCGGCCTCGACGCCGCCGCGGTCGCCCGCTGCTGCCCCGCCGTCCGCTTCCTCGTCGAGGATTACTTCCCACAGCTCGAGCGGCTCGTCGAGGCGATCCCCCTCGAGGCGATGGCGCAGCAGCGGTTTGGGAACCGCGCGAAGCGGGAGTTCCACGCCCGCCTGAACGCGACGGTGGAGGCGGATATGCTGCGCCTCGCGCGGGCCCTCCCTGGGAAGGGACGGGTGCCCCTCTACGGCTACGACCCCGCCATGGAGGGGAAGA